CCAAAATCGACCGGGTTGAAGGCCGAGCTCCAGAATCTCCATCTGAATCGCCCAACCTTGCCCCCACCAAGTCGAATGGCAAAGGACTTGCACCTCCGTCTTTGGGCTACCAAAGCAGCAGCGGTACGAGACTCAGCACCTACACGTCTCGCACCACTCTAGAGAGCACAGCCGGAGATGATGAAGGCTCTGTATACAGTGCCTATGACCAGGGCGGCGCACAAAATGAGGTTAACCGAGTGGTTAGTCAGATGACTGCTGCGCCTGATGTCGAAGGCGACGATGATGAATACGGCGACTATGCATCAAGTCGTGAGGTTCCCACATCCGACAAGGATGCTTTGAATATTACTGCCCAGTCAGCCAAACTGCAGCTAGACATTCTGGCCAACGTCGCTTCATCGTTGCAAGCAGAAAAGTCAAGAGACCAGAGCATGACACTCGCCGACCCGGCTGTTGACCAAGCCCTTGCTGCATATGAAGCTGCGGTAAGCAGCCTGAAGGGACTTGTACATGATTTGCTCAAGATTTCCCGCGACCGCGATTCGTACTGGCAGTATCGTTTGAACAAGGAAGCATATCTTCGGAAGATGTGGGAAGAAAGCATGGCTCGAGTTGCACAGGAGCATGATGAACTACAATCGAAGATGGGCGAATCGGAGGAAAAACGACGCCGCACGAAGCGAGCTCTCAAGGAAGCATTGGAGAACTCGGCGAATACAAGTCGCGCAATCAGCAAGACCCCGTCCCGTGTGCAGGTCACGACTAAGGAGGGGGGGAATGAAGAGGAGCCTCATAGCCCAGAGACAGCTCAAAGTGCCTCTCGGCCCGATGAGCCAAAAACCGAAGAACCTCTCCGGCGCAAGCAATCAACTCTTTCTCATATCAGCAGTTTGTATGGATCGGGATCGGAAGATGAGGATGAATTTTTTGATGCTATCGACGCTGGAGAGATTGAGGCTGAAAACGTTGTCAAGCCGGATGTCAAGGATGAGACTGAGCACTCCGAGGATGGGAATGCCGAATTGCGGGCTGTGAAGCGTACTCAAATTGCGCCTTCGTTCAAAGGATATGAACAACCGGTCAGGACCAGACTGAAGATGGATTATGACAACCGCCCAAAGATATCTTTGTGGGTAAGTTAAGACGTTTCTTCCGTGTCTGTTTCAATATATCTAACAAAGGTTCTTATTCCAGGGAATCCTGAAATCTATGATCGGCAAGGATATGACCAAGATGACCCTTCCTGTCTCGTTCAACGAGCCAACGTCATTGCTCCAGCGGGTGGCGGAGGACTTGGAATATACAGACCTTCTTGACGTGGCAGCCGATCTGCCGGATTCAATGGAGCGTATGGTACATGTCGCTGCGTATGCGGCGAGTGAATATGCATCGACCATTGGGCGTGTGGCGAAGCCCTTCAACCCTCTACTTGGCGAAACGTTCGAATATGTCCGGCCGGACAAAGGTTATCGATTCTTCGTGGAACAAGTCAGCCATCACCCGCCAATCGGTGCCGCATGGGCTGAAGCTCCACGGTGGGATTACTATGTAAGCATCCAGCCTATATCTCGACCAAGTCTTGTAGTCTAACTAACTTTGTTACCAACAGGGCGAGTCTGCTCTCAAATCCAAGTTCTACGGGAAATCCTTCGACATCAACCTTCTTGGAACATGGTTTCTGAAGCTGCGTCCCGTGTCGGGTGGGGAGGAACTCTATACCTGGAAGAAGGTGACCTCGTCTGTTATCGGCATCATCACCGGCAATCCCACACTTGACAATTACGGATTGATGGAGATCAAGAACTGGACTACGGGTGAGGTTTGCTACCTGGACTTCAAACCAAGAGGCTGGAAGGCCGCGTCCGCATATCAGGTGGCTGGCAAGGCTGTGGACCGGGATGGGACGCCCCGATGGAGCATCGGCGGTCGTTGGAACGACAAGCTCTATGCCCGCCATACACCTGGATTCGAAGCACCAGTCTCTGGCCAAGATCCAGAGTCGGCCAAAACGCTTCTAGTGTGGCAGTGTCACGATCGTCCTGCCGGGATCCCGTTCAACCTGACACCGTTTGTCATCACGTTGAATGATCTCCCCGAAGGCCTAAAAGAACATCTCCCGCCCACTGACACGCGTCTACGACCCGATCAACGTGCCATGGAGGAGGGAGAGTATGATCTCGCCGCCGATGAAAAGCACCGCGTGGAAGAAAAGCAACGATCTAAGCGGCGAGAGCGGGATATGAACGGAGATGAGTATCAGCCTCAGTGGTTCACCCGAGCCAAATGTCCGATCACGGGCGAAGAATACTGGGCTCATAACGGGAAGTACTGGGAGTCTCGGGAAGCCCACGATTGGAGTCGTAGCGAAGACATATTCTGAGAGACGGGATGCTCATTTGGGGCCGAGGATTCTTGTCGTGATAAGAGCTGGAAAACGCTCGTTGACCTGTCGTGCACCTCATTGTATAGAGTAATAGCAGCCGGCCGCTTCAACCAGGTCGTCAACTATCGGACATGTCAAACTATTTTCAAATTTGGAACGCAAATTTACAATTCCATCGCAGTTAGCTAAAACAGCCAGGACTATCAACTGGCCTTTTGATCGAGTGTTTAATTTACTATCATGGTCGTAAACGTATGACCGCCCGGACTCACGTGATCCACCCGGGTCTCACTCCGGAGCAAAGAAAAAGCCGGCCGCTGCAGCGTTAGAAGCGAAAACACCGACAACAACTACGCCATTCCCCATTAATCTCCATCATGGCCGGTGGGTATACCTGTGGGCGCTGCCTACAAGTGTTCCGCAACTCCACAATTCGATTGCAGGCCCAGAGATTCCAACCGGGGCGAACATTATCCTCCGTCCGAAGCTTTGGCTCATGGCGCCATAACCCCTCCAAACAAGCCCAGGGGCAGACAAAACGGCCGTCGCCGCTGGACGCGCCGAATGTACCGCGTGAAACGTCTAGCAATTCGTTGGAGACTCGAGCTCTGTTGAAACCGAACAACCTTTTCCACCCTTTCACGGAATCTCCAGCACCGGCTATCCGACAACGTGCGGCGTTCATCAAGCAGAATGCCTTCTGCCCTCATCCGAGCCACCAACCGACGCGTGCACCCGTTTCCCCTCACGACCCGGAATCGCGGAAGTTATCGCAAGACGCCAAATCTCCGCCAGCCCACTCCCATCACGAGTGCCCTGACTGCGGTGTTCCGATCTACTGTTCGGAGGAGCATTGGATGGATGACTTCGAGGCCCATTTGGAGGTCTGCGACACCATCAGGCAGATAAACGAGGATGATCACGATTTGAATTCCGGGCGCTTCTTCCCGGAGTTCACCTATCCGGGGCTTCAGGATGACAATTATGTCGTCAACATGACCAATTGGGACACTTTCCTCTACACTCGCGAATTCGAGGCTATCAATGACGATCGCAGCATGCGGCAGGTCACCAGGATGCTCACCTACCCGTTGACCATCGGAAGCGTCTTGCATGAACTGAGTCCTTATACGGTTCGCTCTGGGGGGAGGCTTACGACGGAGGGGCTTAAGAGTGCGAGTGGTGAGTTGTCGGACCGTGTTACTTTAACCCTCAAGTCACCGAGCTAACCGTGAATCCCTTCAGCATTGCGGTACACCTTGCACCCCCCGAGAACAGGAGAAGGCGTCGATATGCAGGGCCTACGACTCAAGGCCCCACCGGTACGGCTATTCATCCTAGGAGCGCGCGCCGAATCCTCTCTTCCACGCGACGTATGGCTCCAGCTGAGCCATATCTTCCCGCGCTCTCTCATCCACTTGATCTTCATTGGCCCGGAGAGCATGACCAACAGGGACGCCGAGTTCCCGCTACCGGAGCGAACGCCCGAAAATCCATTTGGCGGCATCGTGGAGGACCGTCTCGGCGGACAGCTGAAGATCACCACCTACGTCGACTACTTCCACACGATGTACAACGCGCAATATTTCCAGCCGTTTGATCCGTACCTGGACTGCGTTGTTCTGTTCCACCCTGGCCTCGGTCACCCGGCCAGTTCTCACGAGTGGGAGGAAACCCTTCCTCAGCTTCTCGAGACCAAGGTCCCCATCATCAGCACAGGTTATACACAGTGGGACATGGAACGTGACATCAATTGGGTGCATGAGAAGTGCGGCGGGGAGTTCGATATGCTGCTCGAGCCTGGGGAAAACATCTTCCGCAGTTTGCGGTGGGATCTCAACGACTTGGATCCGCATGATGTGTCATGTGGGAACTGGGGTCTTTGGGCGTTCCGTGGGAAGCGGTATGTCATGACTATTGAATCCCTGGTATCAATTGCTAACTTAATTATCTTCCGCAGATACGAGACGACCATGAAGGAGTAACTTGCTCTTTGACCGGTTCTTATTTCCCCTCAGCCCTTTCAATTGTTTAAAATGTAAGTTGCATGATATCGGCACTGGCTAGATTCTTGTGGATCCGGTGTGGACACGGCAACATAACCAACCATTGGACTTCCACAGCTCCCTGTCATGGGGTATGGGTTGGTCTACTTGTATACCTACTCTGTAGTATAATTAGTTGCATTATCACGATCTAAATCTTCATTCTTGACCTTGTTTAACCAAACCGGGCAAGACTGCCGCCAACTAATCTGATAAGACTGATCCGTAACTACCTTATCTCCTTGATAAAAGAGGCAACCATTGGTTATAGCTTACAAGCAATGCCTACGAATTTTCTCAATGACGCAACGAGGACGCAAACCCCTAGTGCAACCTGAAACCCTAGTGGGCGAACTACAACAAGATAAGGTATCATATTGATGGTGACCAACCCCACCTGATACGATGTACCCGAGTGCAATTGCGAAAAAGAGGGGAACTACGAGAGCCGTTATATGGATCAGACCCAGAAGAGGATAAAATAAACATATAATGTCGCAATATAAGATAATGCATAAAAGAGTACCCACGGAGCTCAGAAGTGCCTAGATATCTTTTGTAGCCGAGTGGTATTCTTTGCGACATATAACTAGCCGAATGTATAGATCCCGTGAATCAATTTATTACCACACCGCCAATATGACTATGGTGAGATTGGTTGTGTTGCATATATATCTAGTCCATGCGAGACAGGACAAGTACAAGTCAAGTCAAGTCAAGTCAAGAAAAGCAAAGCAGCACCGCACGATAGATATTTATCCAACAAGGCCACTTAACCCTCTGTGCGAATCCTGGAGCAGGCGCACGCACAGCTTCTCAGCATCCCGTCTGGGAAAGAGTAGTAAAGAGGTACTCCGTACATAGGTTTATGTATATAAACAATCTGCCTGTCTGTCCATCTATAAAACCAACCAGTCCAACCGACATCAAAACACAAAAATCCCAGCAGCAGCCACGACAACAGCAGCCAGCACACCCGAGGGCCCAGTCACGGACGCAGCAGCACCAGTATGCGGAAGCGAGTTGGACGCAATCGGCGTAGAAGCAGACTTGGTAGGCGTCCTACCAACCGACGAGCTGGATCCCCAGACGGGAGTCGAGGTCGGCGTCGCGAAGGAGGAGGTAGGCGTCGCGGTGGAGCTGGAGGTGATTGGGGTGCTGGTGCTGGTGCTGCTGGGGGTGGTGGTGGGGGCAGCGGTTGAGGAGGTCAGGTCTGCGACTTTGAGGAGCTCGTATGTGACGGTCTCTGGCGCTGAAGGTTCCTGGGCCAGCGCGATTGGCGCGAGAGCGGCGGCCGCGATGCAGAGTGCTTTGGTGAGCTGCATTGTTGTTGTTGTTGTCGTTGTTGGGTATAGCTAACGGAACGGTTTGGAAGGTAGCGTTGCGAGTTTTTGTTCTCTCTGGTCTGGCACACGTTGCGGCGAGGGATTGATTGAGATTGTTGCTGCTTTCGCTGGAGATATTATTTATATATAAGAATGCAGTTTATTGTATTATATATAAAACGGTGGTATGTATCCCTAGAGATCGACAAAACGGCGCAAAATCCAAGAAAATAAAGAGTGAATGGAGCTGGAAACGAGTGACAGCTCTTGTGGAGACAGGAAAAAAGAAAGAAACGAGCGACGACAGCACTGCTGGAAAGAAGTTGATATATGAATGAAACAAGCAAAAGAGAAAAGAAGAGAAAAAAAGAGGGAGAGGGGAGAAGTTTGATTAGGAAAGTATGGGTCTGCGGGTCCCTAGCTAGGGCTACTTGCTATGCGCGACTCCATATCTTGCAGTGACTATGTACCGCGGGCAATTTCCCGCGGCTTAATTTGGCTAGTTGATTCTTCGGCTTGTCCTGCAATTCCCTCCTATTAGTCGATTTACCCGGGGAAACTTATCAGACAGTGTGTGAAGAATTGATTGTGGGTTGCCGATCTGATCTTTTGCGACAGACTAGCAGGCTTTTTGAAACCACTCTCGATTCAGGCCGGGTGAACCCCGGGCTAGTAGGCATTGAGGGCAGTACGAGGAAATAGGCACCTTGCAACTACTCCGTAGTCCGTACGGGATACGGATACTTATGGAAGACATTTGGACTCTTTGGTGGTTTATTGTGGGGGTATGGGTTAGCTAAAACTCCACTGTGGTGGAGAAGCACCAGCAACGTTATTATAAGATAAGAGAGCCAGGAACAATCAAGGACGAGCCAAAGCACGAGCAAACAAATTGTAAAGTTATAAAAAAACGCTGTATAGGGTATTAAACGATCTCATGAAACAGGAGCCCACCCTCAAGCAAAGAAAACGAACCATATTATGTCGGGAAGAAACACAGACGCGGTATATCTGCGCCCACGAACAAGCCGAGCTATCATCATCATCATCATCATCGTATCATCATCACAACATATAAACGCTACTAAACACCAAAGCAACCATGACCCAGTATCCGCTGGCATGTAGCATGGCTACCGCAGGACCCGGCGCGGATGATGACGAAGTGGACGACGACGACGACGAAGCGGAATCGGACTCATCTGACGTTGTTCCATTCGGCAGGGTCCCGTTGATGAATATTTTCTCGGTGCCATTGACCTCCACCACCCGGACGTTGCTCCCGTTCTTCGGCTCTGTTCCATTGAAGAGCGACTTGTAATAGCTGTCTTTGTCGTTATCATCACATCCGCACTCGGCGTGCTCCGCGCACAGGCAAACCACGGGGAGCGACTCATTTTTGTTGTCGGTGTGGTTCGTATAGTGATACGGGTGACTGTAGGGATAGGCGTATGCGCCATATAGCCAAAGGCCCGGGAAGAAAGCCAGCGCTGTCGCGGGCAATAGAAACGGTGCTAATCCTAGAGGTGAACGTCGTCCGGCCGCATAAGGAGTTGTCGAGCCGCCTCCGTAGTAAGCTCCACCACCGTACGCCGGCTTTGTGCCGGAGCCACCACGACTCGCGCCACCGGTGTTACTGGACGATCTGGACAGAAATATGGTTAGCGGTCTGTAACCGTGTGTGGGATGCATGCATGCAGCACTCACCCTGTTCTTCCCCCTGAGGACGAACCGCCTCCACTGCCACCATTGCTTGATCCTCCGCCGCCGCCACGCCCTCCACTACCCCCACCGCTGCTGCTCCCGCCGCCGCCTCCGCGTCCGCCTCCGCCGCGTCGCTTCTCCAGATCCGGGAATTCATCACTTCTTGGCGCAACTTCTAGATCTCGAACAGCCAAGTCTGAGGGAGGTACCGAGAGAGACGTCGCTGTGGAGAGAAGGAGAAGGAAAACCGCTGCTGCGGATGGAAGTTTCATGTTGTCGGATACGATATTCAAGAGATATTGGTGGGTGAGCGTGAAATGCGACAGATGGATAGAAGTAATGCGGATAAACCGGAAAGGTGAAAGAATAGATCTACTAGCGTATGTTGGATCCAGACAATGAATACAGACTGAGATTGAGGAGGCAGAAGAGAGAATGAAAGGGGAGGAAGAAAGAAAATCTAAATGAAAAATTGGCAAGTGATGTTATTGAGGTATTGATGACCTTATTATGATATAAGTTGGAAGGAAGGAAATAAAAAGCAGGGTGGCATTATAGGCTATGCCAATATCAATTAGTGGGTAAGTAGTTTACTGGGCAGGGAGGTTGTTTCAGCGACCTATCATGATCCAGAGTGAGCAGCGGGGAATAAAGTCTTTGAGATCGCATGGACGCAATTTGGTAAAAAGAAACCGACTATCCTCCTTTGATCCCAAGAGAAGTAGGAAAAGATTGACTGATCGTTCTAATCGATGCTGCATGCGGCCAGCCGCGCCCTCCACGATTCGCCTTTATCAGCACTAGACGCGCTGCGCAGCCTCAGGCCCCCAACGCGCCACGGTAGTCGGCGATTTTGAGTGGATGATTTCACGACTCTGCGCCACGCGAAACGAGCCTTTAAAGACATGCAATGACGACCCTCTGCAGTACCGTGGACGATCAACCAGCCTACAAATCATCACGTAGACGGGGTATTTACCCGGCGTGACCGCTGGTACTGACTATTTCGTCATGCAACAACACATTCTATATAGCGGTTGATCCGTCTTTCATAGCCACACACCATGGCACACTAGAGTGTTAGTGGTGGTCTCGCATGGGAGACCAAGAGAAGGTAAGCAGAGCCCCCTTTTTTTGGTTAGTAGAAGCCACACTCCTTTCGACTCTATGTGCACGAAGTACGTCATTGTACTCCGAATATGGTTTCTGAACTTGCACTTCACTTCAGCTTTGGGAGGCGCAGAAATCCTATGGTTGATCTTGTCTTCACCGATGATCAAGTGCCCCTTGTCTTCCTGGCGCTGGCTTCAAGCGCGCTGGTATCCAACTCGGTACGATGGCTTCTTGATTGGCACCTAAGATACGAGAATTTAGCCACACAGGGCTTTGACCGCTGCCACCTGTTCACAGGACGACTTGTCAATCCTAATATTAGCAAGGTTTATGGATTCCAGCCGAATTGACGGTGACATCGTTGTCTATGACAACATTGCTGAGACAAGTCGACTTTTCTCCTCGGATGATAGAGATAAGACTGATCGATGGGAATCGGCACTATCTTATCGTTATCACACGTGATAATAATGGGGATGACTAATATATTAAGCGAGAAGTTGTCCAAAAAGGAGGAAAACAAACTTCATCACTCAGTGCTCACTCAGTGCTCACTTCGAACGTCGAATCAAACGCCCACGATGGCACGAATGGAAAACGGTGATTCGGGGATTAGGGATCATCATCGCGCCAGATGACCGTGTCAAATTGTTTAATGATGCAATTACGATCCTCCCTTCGACTCCCCTTGGAATATATGAGATTCCATTTCGGTAGGCCACAATATTCATGGTTGAATGTGATGGTCTACATACTTAGCACAGATATATACCTCCACTGCAACATTATAATCCAGCTGTCTCCAGAGTCTGGTCTCTCTTTCGAGAAAGATCAGGCGCCTCGTCAAGGACCCTTCTTGGAAGGACAGTCTTCACATTTCACGTCTTGTGGCTGTGGCCGACTGGAGCTGGATTGTAGAGCTCTTCGGAGCTCATATTGGTACTTCCAATGACGTTGCGAGAGTAAGTCAGGGCCTTCATAGTTCATGCTGCTCCCGTGTTCCATACGAGAGCATGACTCCTTGCGCACCTACATCACTACATCATACGTACAATCTTAGTGTTAGACAATATACACCCGCTTGGGTCTTCCAACGGTGGAAATTCATCAATGTGTACGACGTAGCTATATGTAGTCTATCTCAAATCATAGATGAGTCGTCTCATCCATATCACAGCTTGCTTTTCGCAGCCTCGTCGTCGATGACCTTGACAACCACCTTCCCCCACGTCTCCCTGCTCCCCAGCGCCTGCAGCGCCTTGGGAACACTCTCCAACCCAACAAAACTCTCATCCTTAAACGCAGTACCTCTGAACTTCCCCTGAGCCACAAGATCAAAAATCCCCTGCCACACAGTGCCCACAGTCTGGGTCTCGTGCCGGGCATACTGACCCCAATGCAGCCCAACAATGCTAACATTCTTCAGCAGCACGCGATTCAGCGCAACCTTCTCGATCTTCCCCGCCGCAAACCCAATCACCAGCAGCCGCGCATTCCACGCCACACACTTCAGACTCGCCTCGATCATGCCCACAGGGTCATACACAATGTCCACGCCGGCCTTCCCATTCCCCGAGCGGTGCAGCGCACACAGCTTCTTCACCTCCTCAGGCCAGCTCTTATCCCGATAATCGATAACATGGTCGGCGCCAAACTCCCGCGCGACCTGTCTCTTGCGCTCCGTCCCAGCAGTCGCAATCACCGTCGCGCCCTTCGCCTTCGCGATCTGCACAGCCGCCAGCCCGACCCCGCCAGCAGCAGCATGGACGAGCACCCAGTCGCCGGCCTGGACCTGCGCGCGGTGCACGAGACCCCCGTACGACGTCGGCGCGGTGACGAACAAGCCCGCGGCATCCTCAAAGCTCCACCCCGCCGGGACAGGGAGGAGGGTGTGTTCCGGGGCGCGCACGTGAGTAGCGTATGCGCCCTGCGCGGCGCCGAAGACGCGGTCTCCGACCTTGAAGCGAGGGGTCGTCTTGGGTGCTGTTGGCGCGGCGAGGATGGTGCCGGCGAATTCGGCGCCGCTGACCCACGGTAGCGGGGGCTGGTTCTGGTATTTTCCTTGGATTTGGAGCAGGTCGAAGAAGTTTGTTCCGGCGGAGTGGATCTCGATTAGGTAGTCGGTTGGGGAGGGAGGCGGGGTGGGTAGGGTGGTGACTGTTAGGTCGAGGGGACCCTGGAATAACAATGGGATTTAGTCTAATTGTTCGTCTTGTAGTGTTCGGGGGGGAAGAACTTACCTTGACGTATTCTTTAACCTGGACGGCGCGCATGTTGTATATATTTTTCTAAAAAGGATATCGAAGAAAGCTAGATAGATGGCAAGCCGCAGGGGAACAGTATCTCCGCAAGCACGGCGGTTAAGAGATGGAAGAGAAATCGGATATCGATGAGACAGGAGGTATGTGGTGTAGTAAGGGAATTGTATTTGAACTCCGTGCTGAATAAATATTTGACACGGACTGACAAAGTAGTAAGCGTTGAACGGCAGTTACCCAGTTGGTGATTGAAGGGTGAACGGTAGTTACCTGGTTAGTTATTGAAGGTTGATTAATATACATGTTTTCCCCGCGCAGTCTGGACGTGCCGAGGTTGGGGTCGGATAAATCCCCGACACAAGGGACGGCTTTGGCTGCTTGACGAAAGGTACCGCGACTTGGCTCTGGGCCACCGATCTCTGGATACAACATTCAGGGCATGTCAGATGTACGTACTGTCGCTCTACAATTGCTAAGACAGTCAATCCGTCGAAGGCATAGTGTTACACCGTTCTATACGTGTCCATCAGCATTATGTATCAATGAAACGAGAAGATACCTAGATGGACTATTACACCTGCTCCCCTCGGCATATAAGCAATGTGATTGAGGTTATTATTCTTCGAGAGTAGAGGCTATAAACTACAGTTGATTCATACCTATGAACCCATATGGACATCATCCAATCAGTTCCAAATTCAACATAAACACAACAATGACGCAAATGTCAATGTAGCCCCCGTTCTTTTCCCTGCCAAATGCAAAAAAAGAAAACAGAACAAGAAGAAAAGAGAAAAAAGGAAGAAAAAAGAGCGCCTGCTAATGAAAATTGGTTCCTTCGCTTGCAAGTTTCCCATCGATCAATTTTCAGGATGAGAGGAGAGACACCACACACAATGCACACGCATACATACACACACTCGCAAACACAAACACACAAACACACGTATGCTTACCCAAGGTATCAAGACGGGAAAGAAAAAATTAAACAGGTAGATAGAATTACATTATCAGGGAGTTGCGCCCGTCATATTTCAGCGCAAAGACATTGCGTAGTTAGCTGGCACTCGCTGGACCGATTCAAGCCCGTCTTTTGCGGAGGCGATGCTCTTTGCCCTTCTTGGACTTCTTCTTGCTCTTGTCGACTGGCAGAACGAGAGGCTCGTCCTTCATGTTCCATTGCATGAACCGCAAGATATACTCGTCGATATGCGCTGGTATAATCTCCACGTGCACCGGTTCGTCAGTGCCATGCACATGGGGCGCGGTGAGAGGACGCGGCCCAGGAGTTCCTCCCTCGTCGGGTGTATTTGCGACAGGAGTCGGAGCTTGAGTTTGAGCGGGCGTGCTGTGCGAGACAATCCGATCTTCGAAATCGCCGTCGTCCGCGTGTTCTAACTCCTTCTGGGCGTTCTTGGCTGCATCGATATCTTCCTTGTCCTCGGCTTGTTCGAAAACCCGAGCAGTGCCGCCAACCCGGTTCGCTAACACCCGGTCCATAGCCGCGGTGGCTTCGTCTTGCCTTTCCAGAGATTCATCGCCTTCGATCTCAGGCGCAGGCTTGGTGATATACTCCGTGGTGAATTCACCCTCTTGGATGACGACATCGTCAAGCATCCGCTTTTGATTGGCCTTGCGAAGGATGTTCGATTCAATGGTGTATTCGGAGACAAATCGATAGATGTGAACGTCGCGGGTCTGCCCAATTCGATGGCACCGATCCTGGCATTGCTTATCCATCGCCGGGTTCCAATCCAAGTCGTAGAAAATAACGGTGTCGGCACCCGTGAGATTGATGCCGAGACCACCGGATCGGCTGGACAGAATAAATGCAAGAATGCGATCGTCGTTGTTAAATCGATCCGTGAGGATCTGACGCTGCTCGACCTTGGTTGTTCCATCGAGCCGGAGATACCTGTGCCCATGGATATTGAGGAACTGTTCGAGGATGTCGAGCATCTTTGTCATTTGCGTGAAAATCAAAGCCCGATGTCCCCCCGCCTTCAGATCACGGAGGAGCTTGTCCAACCGCTGCAGCTTGCCACAATCATACTGTAACAACCTCCTATCGGGAAACGCAATCGACAAACGCATCTGAGCTTCGTGGAAAGGATCATGGGGAGGGAACCTCTCCTTTTTGGTGAGGTGTCGAGTCTCGATAGGGGTCAGCGCTGCCTGTGTAATGCCAGACGCAACCGCGGCTGGTGTCACACAGGCAAATCTTTGCACGTAACCATCCATATTCAGAGACCGCTCCTCGATGGACTGAATCATTGATGCAATGACACTCGATCGATTAGACAGCCAGTCCGACAGAGAATGCTTCCGTAATGGGCCATTCAAGGCCGGCCGTTGCTTGCTGTCTGCCGTGAGGAACTCGATCAGACTAGTCCCATAGACAGGGCGACGCCCATGGCGCTTTGACTCGAAATACAAGCACCTTTCGAGCTCTGCCATCCTAGTCTTCCGGCAATCGTTCTCTAAGCGATCAAGGGTAGATTGAACAGTGGAGCCGTCAAAGTCCATCTTCCAGTTGGTGCGATGATATTGACGCTCCCTGAGCTGATTGAAAGGGCCATAAGCCATGAGCCTTGTGCTATCATCCGCTAGTCTCCGAGAAATATCCTCCCGTGAGATTGGCACCAGATTGAGGAAATCGAGATCCAACCGTGTGAGAGGATGTTCGTACAGCAACCGTCGACGAACAAGAAGCTCTTTGATTTCGAATTCGGTGGCCACCGATCGAGGCATCGCGAATGACGTGGAGATTTGACGGGTCTCGAAAAGATCCGGGTGGTTGCATACTTTGCGGAGTTGCATCAGGCAATTGATGATGGACAGATAATTTCCAGATGCAAGGGTCTCTTTAGTTTGCGCCCGGGACATGAAACCGTCGTACAAGTATCTCTGGCGTTTCGACAGCCTGCAATAGACCACGTGCTCGTATTTTGCCGGCATTTGCTTCTCGACATCGGCTTTGAGGCGGCGCAAGATGTAAGGTCTGAGGACGGTGTGGAGTTTAGTGACCACTTGTTTTGAGTCATCATCCATCGTTTCTCTGCCATGCTCCAGAATTTGCTCTACTGGACGTCGAAACCACTCAGAGAAATTCTTCAGATCCGCAAATCCTTCAATTCCGGTTTCATCACCATCAGACGGCATCAAGAAAAAGAGGAGGGACCATAGTTCCGTCAGGTTGTTCTGGAGCGGTGTTCCGGTGAGTAGAAGTCGAGCACGCGTCCTGAAAGTAAGCAAAGCTTGCCACCTCTGTGAGCGGAAATTTTTGATATTGTGCGCTTCGTCCAGGATCATGTAGTGCCAGTTTCTCCTCTTCAGAACTTGCTGGTCCTGCAAGACCAGTTGATAGGAAGTAATCAGCACGTTCCAGTTGGTATCGTCCATCCAACCTCGGCGCTTTTGCCTGCGCTCTTCTTGGTTCCCGTAGTAGGTCATGATCTTGAAACCAGGGCACCATTTCTTGAATTCCATCTCCCAGTTGAGAATGACACTCGTCGGGACGACAACTAGATGCGGCCCCCAGACCCCATTTTCCACAGCCAGATGGGCAAGTAAGGCGATTGTCTGGATAGTCTTACCAAGACCCATCTCATCGGCGAGGATACCATTGATGTGGTTATTGTACAGACCAGCGAGCCAGTCCAAGCCGAAATGTTGATACTCTCTTAAAGTCCCCCGGAGCAAGTGCGGGATCGGTGTCTTCATCCCAGGCGCAGGAGATTCGCTCGTCTGTGCAGGCTTTTCTGTCGCATCTTCATACGATGAGACGGACTCGGGTTCGGAATGCTTTGTAGCCAGGGTGGTCGGGGATGCTTCGCTAGAGTGCTCACCACTTTGGGAGCCTTCATGCCGGTGATCAGCCTCTGCGGGATGACTTGTATGCAGAGATTCGTCCGGCACATCAGTTGAGGTTAGATCGTCGGGAACAGGAGCTTCTGTCGTTTTTGTCGTTTCAGCGTCCAAACTATCATTCTCTATGGCCATTTCATCAGCCATGGTGTCTTGTTCTACCATGTCCTGGGGCGTAGATTCCGTCCCAGCTGGCCCGTTAGGGACTAGAGAGACCTCGTCCGGGTCATCCGGCTCATCATCCTCTTCATCTTCTGCTGACACTATCCTCGCATTATCATCGTCGCTATGCTCAACTATGCTATCATCGTTGAGCAAGAGGTCACCATCTGGCATTACCTCCTTGGAGGAAAAGAAGCCCAGCAAGCCTAGTTCGTCCTCGGCATCTTCACCAGAATCAACATCGCTCGAACTCCTGTCTTCATCACTATCACCCATATCATCGTCCATATCAGTAGATGCTTCGCTATCGTCCATGAGCATCGGATCTATTTCGTCAAGTTCAATTGGTAGGGATTGAACGTCATCATCGTCGGGTATGGGGTTCGAGGCGTCGCTATCGTCGGACGAGCCTGTCTCGTTCGATGCGAGCGATCTGCGATCCGAGTCATGACTGGCTCTACGGAGATTGGCGTATTTGAGTTGAAGTTCTTCAGCTGTTAGGCCCTCGTCATCATCCACACCATCCTCATCTTCACCCTCCGATTCTGTAGACGACATGTTGCTTTCGCCATCTTCATCGCCAGACGCGTCACTCGATTCGATATCCTCATCGTCACTCGATTCGGGAATGTCGCTCCCTGTTTCTCCAAGGATTTCCGACCTCCTTTTTTCAAAGAGCATTGTAGACTGTTTTATCGCACGATCCAAGGCCTGTTGGTCTTCCGCCTTTCGCTCTTCTTCCCACTGCGCTAGACGCATCCTGTCCACCTCCGCTCGGGCTAGATCAAACATCTTTTGAAGATCCTTTGCTAGTTGTTTGCGCTTCCCGCGCATCTCCTCCTGCTGTTCTCTGATGATATCCTCCGGGTCCTTGTTGCGCTTCCTCCATGCATCAGCACACCATTGCGCAAAGAGCCTCGCCGTGTTCCGGTGACGTCTATTCTCTTGGTCAAGAAGCTTCTTGAAATACAACGCGTGCGCCACGAGATGATCTTGATGGGAGTACTGCAGTGGGGGTTCTTCTTGTTGCTCAGGTAGGTATGCAGAACAAACATCTGAGCTCAAAGAACCTCCCGGTTCCGCAGCCGCAGCGATCCGACGTCGTTTTTGAGCCTCTTCATAAGCAGCTGCCGGCGAGAGAATTGTGCCGTCACGCGTTGTTCCATCTTCGCTTTCCATCCATTCCCTAAACGAACTGTATTTCCGGGGAGGTACGACGTGCGAGGGGTGGTAAATACCCATAGAGGGTCGTTTAACTTTGAATCGGAGACGCGGGGTAAGCTGGCTCTCTTCATCCCCTTCGCCATTTTGTAGATCCGCCAAATCTGCTCCAAGGTCGTCTGCTTCGTTTGCTGTACCGGGGATAACCGTGCTCGAGTCGTTGTAGCCCACGCCAGAAGGCCGAAGTACCTGAGAAGACACCGAACTTTGAGACCGTGTCCGCGCATGATCCTTCTTGGGTACTGGTGACTGCGAGAAGCGTTTGCGTCTACCAGACGACCTCCTTGGAGCTACGGTCCTCGGAGATCCGTTGACCGCAGCATTGCCACCTTGAAGCTTCCCCCCATTTACCTCCGAATGTAAAACAGATATAGACAAGGGCGATGCCGCGACTGACCCGCCCCGACCAGAAACATTCTGCTTGATGCCTTGTTTTGGAGTACCGCGCGAGGGGCGTTTTTCTGGTGTCTGGGATTCAAGGGGACCCGTATTAACTCTCGAGGATCTGCGTTTGCCATCCTGGAGGAAAGAGGTCGGCCCATCGGCCCCGGCTTTCTTCCATGGCGGCGATGTCGCCCGAGAGGTTGAGCGACGAGAAGGGGTGTCGCCAGCAACTTTTCGCCTTTTCGACGGAGGCCCTTCGGGCGTGTCAGTCGCGGTTTCGGTGTCTTTGTCGTCGGAAGAGTTCAAATCGGGATGCGCAGAATCGATAGGACGTTCGGAGGAAGGAATCTCATGCGTGGTCGCTTCAAGACCGGGGGTCACGCGTTCATTTTGGTGCGAAATGCCATTCGGACTGCCGTTTTGCATGTCTTGTAACCACGGAGACAGGGGCCCTCTTCACAGTTGACCCCAGTTTTCCCAACGAAGACGCGATTGGAAGGGGAAAAATTAGCATCAACAGATAGCTAGAAGTGAGTCAATATGCCACCAAAAATTTGGCATAGTTATCGAAACTGTAGCGTGCGTGGTGATGGATTAAAGCTCTTGGTCACAGAAATTGCTTGAAGATGTGGTTTTTTCGTATTGTGACGAGGAGGCGGTCCCCGGGAGTATGTAAGCGCGGCCGTCTTTGTGCCTGAGGTGCCAAGGCGACGACGCTTTCCGCAAACCTCCAGTTAATCCGAACCCCGTCATTTGCCTGTCGCCAGTCCACTCCATCCCATGGCCAGTTGAGCCTTTTTTTGCCCGCCATTGCGACTTCCTTGCCCTCACATTCCATACAGAACGGTCAGTCCTACCTGTTGGATAGACTACTAGGTACTGTCAATTTGTTAGGTTCCAATGCTGACGACAACGATAGATGATGTCCCAGCGGCTTTTTACCCGGCGCCTTCCTCAGGTGGCCGCTCGCTATACTGCCCCTCGGGCGAACTTCTCACAGGCCCGGACCCTCGCTGCCGCTGAAGTGAACGACCCGTTGCAGGTATGATTGTTGATGCAGCTTGGGGTAACGGTGGTTCTACTCGATAGACTCCCTCTAATATCCTATACAGAACGGCGGCTACGAGAACCCTCCCCGCGTTAAGCGAGCCTTCAGAGACCCCCGTAACGACTGGTGGGACAAGCAGGAACGACGGAACTTTGGCGAACCGGTGCATGAGGAGAACGAGATTCTCGGTGTATTCAGCCCGGAGCAATATACTCATGTCTCGGCCGGCAAGGGCTTCTTCCACCTGGGAGTATTCGTCGCAACCTTCCTCGGTTTCTGTGGTGTTGTGAGCTTTTACTACCCTGATAAGCCAAGCGCTCCTCGTACTTTCTCCAACGGATTGGAGAAAGAACTGGGAGGTCCCAATGCTGTTCCGGTGTGTTGTGTCCCGCTCGTTTATTATACGTCTCGGTGTGCTAACTGGGTGAACTCTAGGCTCGCAAGTCTGGGGAGGAATCTTGGTAATTCGATCGGTCTATGTTGTGTAAATAAATACGACAATGTTTCTTTATGGGCATCAATTGCAGGTTTGATCGCCAATGTTCTCTATGGTTCCGCCCATATCCGTCCGACTTGTAACAACATAGCACTTCTCCTTTGTCTTCCCTCTTACGTTACAATCTTCGATCGAGAAACTCACTTCCTCTGCACTTTTCACGGTATTTTATGTGTTGTTTTGGATTTTATGTGCAGATCACGAGCAAGCGAGGGTGTAACCGCAGACAGAGCAGTGATGGAACAGTGTAGGGGAGACTGTAATCGGACATAGGCGCATATGACTCTTCTATCATGCTCAATCTGATTGATAGCCCCCCTTTCAAACCTGTTTACAAATATTGTACTGTGGCGCCCCATTTCTAAGTATGTTCTATCCCTTGGGTGGAATCAAGTTTGAGTCGCCGCCTATCAGCCATATCCCCCTTGGGTAAGGGAATTTGGACCTTCCTAGTAATTAAAAGACGAACGCGCTCTAAATACCAGGCTGCCAAGAAAAATTTATATTGTAAATCTCACGGTTGCTGGTGCCCTTCTACCGTGCGACCATGCTGACCGTAGATACATACGTCAGAGATGATAGGGAGGGGGCAGCTTTTTGATACGAAACGCTCCCGCAGGGGACACAACAACACACCACCCCTTTCTCCAACCGCCAACATTCCCCAGCGTACCCCCCCGAGTTCTCTCCCATCCGAGCATTAACTTGTCCCGCCTCCTGAACACCGTCGATCTGCGAAAAACGATTCGGATTTTTCTCTACCCCTCATTCTAGTTGGATATTCTCGTCCAGCTCCTGCTGGCTGGTCCTGTCGCAAACCGCCCATTCATGGTCTCACCACCCGCATCCCCTCTCCTTCTGAACGCCGCGAGATTCGGATAGAGAAAAGTGCCCCCTCATGTCGACAGCATCGAACCAATCTCGAGGTTTCAACCGACGGATCAACAGCCTTCAAAATGAAGGACGTCATTCGCGCAATCTTTCGGCGTCGCGCCGGCGCCCAGTCAACAACACGGCAGCCTACACCTACGCTCTACGAGTAGCTTACCTCGCCCATCTCCTCCAGCCTCGTTCGCGACGTGTACAGAATGTACCAGCGCCCCAGCGGCCCAAGCGAGCGTCGACCTCTTTCCACGATCTGATGAGCGACTTTTCCCTTGTGAGGGACTCCAAGAGCACAAGATTCCCGCATGGATTCATATCGGAACTCGAGAAGCGGTTGACGGGCATTTTAACAAAGAAAGAGAAGCGAAAGGAATATCAGGATCCGCTGGTCGTGCGAACGTTCGCGGCCTTCCTCAATACTCTCAAAGAGCAGTCCTTCAGGAAGCGTATGGAGAAGGATCGCCGAGCGGAAGATCTCGTTCTCATCTTCTATTCGAACGCCACCAAGGAATTGAGCAAGGGCAAGGATTCGGACGATGACAGTTGGAAGTTAATGGTGGACCGGCACGTCGCACTCTTTGTCCGGCTCTTTGCACTTATTCTGAAAAGTAATGACTGGGCGAAAGATCGACCCGAATTGTCCAACCGACTTTCGGTCCTAGAGAACAAGCTGCTCTCTCAAGATCAAGACCTTGTGCAGGGGGATAGGGCTGATACCACGGAGGTAGTGGCCCCGTTGAGCTACGACGTGAAAGACATGCCTCTCGTACAACATGTGGCGGCTATCTATGGCATGACCTCAAGCCAGGTGCAGTCTGACATAGACAAACACAGAGCCGTGTGGACAGCACAGGCAGCTCTTCAGGATTTGAAGGCTTACCAAACCCACCTTAGTCTCAGCACCCCCAAAACGCTTTCCGCGCAGGACTTTGAGAATGAGGAAGCATATGACCTGTGGAAGAAGAGCGAAGCCCCCGATCTATCGCAAATGATGCTTGCTATCGTACAAGCCAACCCAGAGCTCGCTAAGAGCACCCCGGGCAGCGCACTTCCCCGATTCAACACCGGTCTCAATGATCACAATCACGAAACAAGTCCTGGGGGGTCTGCCAGACCAACTTCGTATATTATCGACCAACCTATGGACCTGAGCTCACTTTCGTTGAGTGACAGCAATGGCAATGAATCTGAAGAATCTGACACCTACGTGTACATACCACCGGATCCGAGATCTATGTACAAGTCCATCTTAGCCCAAACTCTTCACCACGATCTCCGGGACCATGATATCGATGCTTCGCCGGTTAGCCCTGACTCCCCTTCCATGAGGCTTTTATCAAAGCAATCCTCTGAGCTTCTTAACGAAATATGTCTCCGCTGGCGCATCCCCAACTTCTCCCGAGTTGTTCTGTTCCTTGAGGTCATTCGGACCAAGTTTGTCGATAATGAAATCGACTTGGACACCCTCGATTCAGCATTCACATTTGTCAAAGAGGTACCGTCATCGGAAGGCAAAAAGCGCAGCAGTTTTGTGGCTTCTGTCTTTTTCGAGAGGCAGAGATGGACCATCCATGACCTTCTTCTAATGCAGCAAATACTCTCTTCCCTCCATGAAGCGCTCCTGCGAGAATTATACGACGTCATGATGGACTGCTTCGAGGATAAGCCCCGTCCAATAGGGCCGGTGATGTACGTCTTGGATAATCATATCCAGATGGATCCAGTATATACGGAAGACGGTGAAGATATCGATCGCTTTCGCTCTTATGTTCAAGATGGGCTTGCACGGAAAGCAACGGAGAGACACCAAGCCCTTCTTAGCCAGATGGTACCTGTCCAACAAGAGGTCTGGGAGCTGGCTCACGTCATTCAACTTTGCGATGCTATCATGAAACTTGGTCAGAAGATCAAGAAACGTTATCGCAAGAATCCGGAGATCATGGGGTAAGGCACATATGCGTTTTTTCTTACATTAAATATCCTTCTAACAGCCTGGCCAGGGTCAATCCTTACAAGACTTTGCTCGCAAATGTTCTTCCCATATTTTCCGAAGATGCCCATGAGATGGTTGTCAGAATAGTTGAGCAAGAAAAAGCTCAAGAGCTGGAGATACCGATGGAAGACGGCTTTGAGCTGTACAAGCAATTGGCTAGTATGCGCCGCATCTTCGCTGAGGAACTTCCTGGGTATAGTATTCCACTGCCCTTGTGTGTGACTCGACTGGAACTGACGTCACAATAGATCCCCTTTCCCTTTCCAGATCGAGAGCCTGCTCGGAGAATTCGTTTGGCGCTGGATTCGGCTTACTGATCAAAAGATCATGGATTGGGTCGAACAAGCCATCAAGCAAGATCGATTCAATGTCCGGGCCGATGACACGACAGAGATGGCTCCTGAAGAGTCCCGGCACAGTGTGTCGGTTATCGACATCTTCCGCTCCTTCAACCAAGTCATAGAACAAATGATTGGTCTTGAGTGGGACGATGACTTCCAATATGCAAAGTTCATGACCGCTCTCTCCAGGTCGATTGGGAAAGGCGTGACGAGATATTGTGAATCACTCGAGCAGATGTTTGCCAAAGAAATGGACCGCCTCTCGCCGGATCAAGAGGCGGCTATGAATCAAACTGCTCAGGAGAAATTGATGCAAATGGCCAAGGAGGCATGGGCAAACAAAGAGAAGATCGAACCCTTCCATTTCTTCCCACAGGTAACTCAACCCCTCTTCGATCCTTGTCTCTCGCCATAGTATCATGAGATAGCTGACAGTATGATTAGTCTCTAGTCAAACTGAACAACGTCGAGTATGCACTTTCTCAGTTAGACAAGCTTGAACGTGAGATCAATGTCGATGGTTGCGCAGAAGTTATCGCGCAACATGCGCCCCCGCAGACTTTGAAGATGCGCAGGTCGGCCACGTATGTGTTTACGATCAAGGTTGTGGAGGCTGAAGATCTCAAAGCCTGCGACATGAACGGAAGCAGCGATCCCTATGTCGTCTTGACGGACGAGTATCAGAAGCGGATCGCGAAGACACGCATTATCTACAATAATTTAAATCCACGATGGGAAGATGCCGTTGATATTACAACGCAGGGCCCTCTTAACATCATCGCGACTGCTTGGGATTGGGACGCAGTAGGCGATCATGACTACGTCGGACGGACCTCGATCAAGCTTGATCCTGTCCATTTCAGCGACTTCCTTCCGAAGGACTACTGGCTTGACCTGGATACGCAAGGCAGACTCTTACTCCGCGTTAGCATGGAAGGGGAACGAGATGATATTCAATTTTACTTTGGCAAATCTTTCCGAACGCTGAAGCGTACCGAAAGGGATATGACTCGCAAGATCACGGAAAAGGTAAGCCAACCCATATGATATCATGATCTTGGAGCTGACTGTTTTCCAGCTCTCTGCATACATCACGTATTGTCTGTCGCGGCGAACTCTTAAATCACTGCTCTCCCGAGGGATCAGTATGTCAACCGTTTCGAACTTCCTCAACCGAAACCGTGCGCAGGCCACGGCCGTAACACCCTCCAATGCAGACATTGAAAATGCGTTGACGCCCCTCTTTGTCTACTTCAACGATAATTTTGCCATCATGAACAAAACCCTCACATCCGAAGCCATGAGAATGGTCATGGCCCGTCTATGGAAAGAGGTCCTTGCTACAATTGAGAGTCTCCTTGTACCTCCGTTGTCAGACAAACCGTCTCATCAGAAGCCTCTGACCATGCAAGAGGTTGACATCGTGTCACGCTGGCTCGTGCTTCTTCTGAACTTCTTCCACGCCATCGACGACGAAACGGGCGAGGCAAACGGAGTAACCCTGGACATCTTGAAATCACCCAAATACCACGAGATCCAAACGCTGAACTTCTTCTACTTTGAACCCACCGAGAACCTCATCCGAACATCCGAACGGATGGCCTCAGCAACGATCCACCGACAGCAAGCCCACAAAAACCGGACATCAGCGCCTCCTCTCCTGGGCTCCTCGGGGCCAGGCACCGTTCTCGGCCTTCCCAGCGCCCGGCGCGCAAAGAGCATCATGCTCTCGCGGAACCTGGGCACAATGAAAAAGCTCAAGGAAGAAAGGTGGCGCGAGGCTCAAGCCGAGCCAAACGACGACATGATTCTGCGAATCCTCCGCATGAGACCGGAAGCCGCGGGGTACTTGCGCGATCGAAGCCGGCAAAAGGAGCGTCTTGCCGCTGCGGCAGCCGCGGATGCTATTGTGAAGCAGAGCCTGATGGCCGGTGCGGGGGGGAGAATGACGGGGACTCTTGGACGGCGGTGATTGACAGCTTGCATACTTTTTCTTTTTTTTCTTATCTATACGTTCGACCAATGTAATGATTCCCATTTAGTCAAGCTCAAGCTCTTGTGATTTACCTTATGTTTACTGGGCATGTCACCGACTAGGTCTACTAATGAATGAAGGAGTTATTCGACACGATGGTTTATCCAAATATGAGCACTGCATTACCCTAGGTTTTAAGATCCAAGTAGAGAGACTCGACTCGAAAAGACAGGGGCACTAGGACCCCTCGACTTCCAACCCCAGAAATAAATAGATAGATAGATAGACCAATTTATCATCATCACTGAATTCTTATTTCATTTTGAAGATTCCAATCCACGAACTAACAGCATGTATCTACTCCAGCGCAATGCACTCAATCTCGACAGGCACACCCTTAGGCAGCTGCTTAACAGCCACACAGCTACGAGCAGGCTTGTGGGTGAAGAACTTCTCATAGGTAGCGTTCATGGCGGCGAAGTTGTCCATGTCGTCGAGGAAGACCTTATCATTCCCCCGTTAGCTTATCTCACTCACGTAACATAGCACTACCAGGGCGAACAAAAAACCAGAGGTAAAGAGGAAGCGGAAAGAAGAAGCATACATTGACCTTGAAGATCTTCTCCACGCTCGAACCAGCCGCCTCAACAATAGCCTTGATATTGTCGCAGCAAGCCTGGGTCATCTCGGGGATACCGCCGGGGACGAGCTGGGCCTTGGAGTCGAAGGGGATTTGGCCCGACACGAAGATCTGGCCGTTGGCCTTGACGGCTTGGGACTGTTATTTTTGTTAGTTGTGTTTTTTTTTTTTTTTTTTTAAAGGAGCCGTTCTCTGTTGTGTTCAGGCGTGGAGGGGAGAGGCTTCGTGTATGGGGAGCGATATCGGCGACGGGATGGGATGGGACGGGACGGGACTTACGTAGGGGCCGGCAGCTAAAGAGAGAGAACGTTAGCATTGATTGATTCTGGGGTGTATCCTTCTTTCCAGCTGATATGGTGTATTTTATGCGTAGAGAATAAACATCAACCCAATTGCAGCTCTTCTCTGCTTATTCTTCTTTTGAGGACCAACATGAGGGGGCAAAAGGAGGGGTAGTTAACGTACGCGGGCAAGCACCAGCAGCAGAGACGGGAGTGACACCGGACATGTTGACTGTTTGAAAGATGGGTCGGTAGATTCGTTGGGAGGAGGTAAGGGGACGGAAGGTTGAGAGGATAGGACGAGAGCTGGGGAGAAGACGAAGGCTGGATCGGAGCATGAGGGGCCGGAGATATAGAGGTGCGGGCAGGGAAGTATTCCGCGGGAAAGAGAGTTGTCAGTTGGCGCTGGGTTGAGTTGAATGAGGCCCCGCTCCACGTGGGTCCTGGGTTATCCGCCAGCATTCCCCTCACTGGACGGTTCTACAGTGACATACACAGCTTGGTGGCTAGGTAATGAGGTAAAGGTTCAAAGGGATTCTCGGTCATGGTATCATTATATAATTTGTACAGAATAGGTATGTCGCCATATAAACAATCAGCGCCGCTCCGTCAAAACCCATCAAGGCGGCTAAGACCCTATGTGCTTCTTCCGTTTCCCAAGCTTCCCAATTGCTGCAAGAAGGACGCAGTCTGCTCGGGGGAGAATCCGAAAAACACAGGACCGTTAAAGATAACATTTGCCCCGATCCGATCCGGACCTCCACCGTCTATCGGTATCCCTGTCTCTTGCTCGACAGTATCGGCTGGCTTGGGAGCCCTGTCCGGGTTGCGGATGGTCTCCGTCTCAGGGTCCAGCTGGTCAGGGGAGGGCGCAGCTCCATGGCCCATGGGACATTGACCCTTTGAGGCTGTTGGATATGGATGCGGTGGGATATCTGGGGGGGGTGTAGCGGGTATATCGTCTGGTTTCTCGGCTGCGGATGCAGCGGCTCCGTGACCAAAGGGACATTTGCCCTTTGAGGCCGTTGGATATGGATGTGGTGGCATGATATCTTGGAGGGGTGTGACGGGCGTATCGTCCGGTTTCTCGGATGCGGATGCAGCGGCTCCATGACCAAAGGGACAGCGGCCTGCAGGTCTCGTCGAGGGGCGATCTTGAAGCGGTGCGGCGGAGGATGTTCTGGCGTCGGCATGGTCTCGGGATTTAACTGAGTCGAGATCCGCGTCTGCTGGTGCAGTCTGCAGGTTTGGATCGGGAAAGGGGACAGGGATCCCCCAGGGCCGGCTTGGGGATTCTCCAAGTCGTACCTCGCGCAGAGGTCGATCAAAATGTCCCTTCCTTTCTTCCTCGCCATCTTCCTCCTCCTCTTCCTTGATAGGAGGGTGCATCTGTGGCTTCAGGCCAACCTCCTCTGCCCACTTCTCCACCCTCTCGGCGGAAGAGCTGGAGTTTCCGGCTTCGCTTCGAGTCCGTTCCGGGAGGTATGCTTGGTGCTTGACAGAAAGCCCGCGAATCATACTGATAAGATTACCATACTTTGCATCGAGATGCCGCATGCTGGACGAGTCTTTCTGATAGCGTTGGACGCAGATGGCATGGCTCCTGGGAATCTCATGCTTATGTCTCTCGACGTAGTCGGCCACCTCTTCCGGGCTGTGTTGGTCCAGGTACCGGATGGGGCAGCGAGCGACGGGACATCGAGTAGTCGACGACTTCGCCGAGCCAGAAGGGGCCAGGCTGGACCGTCTATCAAGCTGTTCCGCTTTGATCGGATCTGGGTCATGTCCACAGGCGTCTCCATTGGCGGCACCGAAGGGATCCTCGATGCCATGGGATACTCCGTTTTCAGATGGGTTTATATTGTTTGGCTTTGCAAAGGGACAGCGCAGCCCACCCCGTACGCCTTTGGTGGTGAAATCTTTCTCCAGGGAGGCAGAGACACCAGCTCTGGTTGCAACTATGCAGGGGTTGAGATCATCAGAAAGTCGATCGACTCCCTTGGAATGCAATACTGATTTGTAGCATACCAAGCCCTCCGTTATTGAGGTGAGTGTGGGATCTCCTACGCTTCCAGACTCCGCCAGTGTCTTAACTACGTCCGGGGGGCTCAACGGTGGTTTGGATGGATTATCAAAGTCGGCATAGCGGCCACGGATTTTTTCAGAAATGATCTTGGTATGGGTGTCTAGCCCATTGGGTAATTGACTTGCTAGTTTCAAATACTTGGGAAAATCAGCACGAGGATCCCCTGGCTTTTTTTTCCCGGGCGGGAAACAAAACAATAAAACAAAAGGAAATTCTCATCAGATAATACATGATGTGTCTGTCATCGCTGCATGGGCAGCTCCTGATCTAGAGCTAATCATTTTTTCTCGTCATTTGAGACTGGGGTAGAGGACGGGGAGGAACCAACAGACAGGAGATAGCTAATCTTACCTCGTCGGAAGCATATTCCAACCTCTGCTGCAGGAAGTGATCCCTGCACCCGAGTTGTTGGATAGTGAGTAGAAGAGCTTCGAAAGCTCTGGCTAAAGTCTGCAGCTGCAGATCCTGCTGCGAGTCTGCAGCAACAGGGGCAGGAGACATGTTACTCTCAGGACGTATGATTACAATATGGTCAACAGCACATCAGATGTTATGACCCAGCACTTCTGCATGGTGCAGAAGCACAGTTTGAAAATCATCGAGGGGGGGAGAGATGGGAAGGGAAGAAGAAATCTCGAACGCGGTCGATGATTATCACTGCCTAAAGATGCGCTGGCTAAGCGAGGTGGCCCGTGCTGTCACGTGATATCTCGGTGTTTTATTGATCCGTGGATCACTCGCGTTATAGCGTGCCGAGGGAAGCGCCTTATGGTCTATACAGATGGCAAGGTACGGGATTATATATACAAGCCTCGACTCTTGCCTACATTGAGTTTACATTGACTGAGCCCGGAAGAGGCTGGCAAATCATTAGCTGGCGTGTATGGGTGATGATTGTATTGTCACCACCTTGTATCTACCAGTTGATATAGTTCAAAATGTTCATTTGGAGCAAACGATGGATTTGTTATCTTTTTATCCGATCAAAGTAGTTTTCGTACTTTGGGGCGTCATGGGCTCCAGTTCTACTTTGAGGAGTTTTGATGCTTTGGGCTGATGGGATGCGTGTTGATAGTGTAGTAAGACGGGATTGAGCCGCATATATATTGTAGACGGCATCTATGTTCAGACGGAAGTGAGAGTCGATCGTCCTATCGAGAGAGGAGGAAAAGAAGAGAACTAATTAATAAGAAAATACTCTAAACCAGCCAAAGCGAGAATACAAGTTATATTGCAGTTCAATGGGTTAAGGTTGTGGTTCTGGCCGTATATGCTATCGAGATCCCATTGATCTGATCACTGAATATTCCAGAAGAATAACAACAATAGTCAAGGGTAAACATTGACCACTCAAATTCCATTGGCTGTTGAAACAATACCTCGATAGCGGTATTCAACAACTAGCCTGGCTAGCTCAATCGGCAGAGCGTGAGACTCTTAATCTCAAGGTTGCGGGTTCGACCCCCGCGTTGGGCTGATCTTTTTGCTTTTTTTTCACGTCCGTCAACCATCAATGCAACATTGGAGACTGGAAGGGCGATGTTCTTTTTGTCTTCGTTCTGTTGTTTTGAAAAGTTGTTGACAAAACTGACGGGTGGGGTTGACACTGGTAGCCTGGGAGAAGGAGTCTGCAACACATGCAGAGCATACTCGGGGAAGCAGCCGACTATATATGAACATCAAGCCACCACGACCCCACCATCCCGTACTATAGTCAATAGGGGTCTATTTCCTGAACGGTTGTCCGTCCTCCCCTCCGTATGGCTGGAAGACTTGTTTTTGCCTCCTTTATCCGCCAGCCCCATTCTCCCCGCGGTCATCGATTGGCTGCCGAAAGGACAGCTGTCCGTGGACGGTGGTTAGCGTTGGATGGTGGCTGCAGAGGGCAGATGTTGTTGTAGTGGGGGACTGCTTCTGCCTACTCTAGTAGTGTGGACTAGACGGGTTGATACGGTGATCATACGTACGGTACACAGCCAGTTCATGCTAGGGCCGACTTGCCTCTTGTTGATATATTTAGATCCCAGACAATAATGATTACTCGTCGAAGTAACCCGATGGGACACACATGAAAGTCTATCCCAGTTCCCAGGTCGATACCAAATGGTCACCGGTGAGCCCGACAGAGGGAACGACAATCATACCACTATGGCATCAGATACAGTACGGTACGACGCATCGTCGGTCAGCAATGCAGTCGGGCTTTTTCGGACGTTCTAGCGCTGCATGAAGCGGACGGGTTCCTGGACTAAGGGGTCTGGAAATGTCGAATACTGTCGCACGATCGCTGCAAGTTCTGTCTCTGGTATTTGCCACTGGAGTACGGAGTGTACACTGTAGAAGTATGATAGGTATCTGACATGTGTAACTACATTGTCCTCTATCAATCAATCTGTTTGACCGATGGGGCTATTTGGTCGAGATATACGGAGGAGTGGTAGATAGATAGCGAGGAACGGGATGATAAAGTAGAAACCGGATGAGATGATTCAGAGGGAGTGAAGAGCACTGACGATCGGTGGCTTTGTTGATCCACTTGATTCTATAGTCCACACGATAGGGGAGGGGCATTCAGGCGTGGGGTTCCTTTTCTTTCCCTTGATTTTGATTCTATCTTGTTCTGTGGTATTTTATTAATGAGTCCACACTTATTGATATATTGCGTCTATAGAAGATGATCTCTTTCATGTCAAATATCCAATTGTATAGGAGAAATACATGGGCATCAGTATATGGATCCGAGTCTAGACTTTGACGTTGAAGAGGGGTTGTAATCCGATTACCAATACCCACACCACAGTTAGGGAGGAGCGTGGTAAGAAACGGTAACGGGTCTGATCGCTGCTTATCTCCAATTGCAACATTTTCTTTTCCATTTTTCTGCTTGAATTTTCCTCCTCCATACTTTGCCTCTCCCCTCACTCCTCACTAAACAACTCCTGGGATTTTTTTTCTTTTTCCCTCTCTCTCCCTCATTTTCTTCTTCTTTTTTATTTTCTTCCCCTCTCTTCTCCTCCCCTTTCTTTCTTTCTTTTTCTCTCTCCCATCATGACTCCTCCAGTTTCTGATCCTGTTTCCACCCAAAGTCCTGATGCCGCCGCCCAAGTCGCCGGACAGTCCTCCTCCCATGCCTCCCGCGCCGCCGAACTCTCCAGTCTTAAAGTAAAGCTGCACGCTGCCCTGCGCCAATTCCCCGACTTCCCCTCTCCCGGCATCCTCTTCGAAGATATCCTCCCCATCTTCGCCGACCCCACCTTGCACGAGTCTCTCGTCCGCTGTCTCGAACTCCACATCCTCGAAACCCACGCCGACCAGAAGCCTGATGTTGTCGTCGGTCTGGAGGCCCGAGGCTTCCTCTTCGGTCCCAGTCTCGCCCTGAGACTCGGTGCCGGCTTCGTCCCCGTCCGGAAGCAGGGCAAGCTCCCGGGACCGTGTGAGACCCAGGGCTACGAGAAGGAGTACGGTCAGGACTTCTTCCAGATGCAGGCTGGTTCTATCAAGCCGGGTCAGAAGGTCTTGGTGGTGGACGATATCATCGCTACTGGTATGGCCCTCTTATCTTATTTCCCATCTGATCTCTTTTCAGAACGGCTACTGACTGTCAATAGGTGGCTCCGCCCAGGCCGGTGGTGAGCTCGTCAAGAAAATGGGAGGTGACCTCATGGGTTTCATCTTCATGCTCGAACTCGATTTCCTCAAGGGCCGCGAGAAGCTTTCCGCTCCGGTCTATACTCTCCTGACTGGTCAAGAGAAGAAGGCCTAATCAACAACAGTCGACATTCTTTAGTGCTCTGCGTGTACACCGTTGTTTTGGGGCCCATTTCGCCAGCAAACAATATGAAACCAGCAAAAAAGAGAACCACACCGCTTTGATCTTTTCTTTTTTTTTTTTTTTTTTTTT